GGTGGGAGGTGAGACCGAAGATTTCTGATGGTTCTGGCCCCCTGGGTCCTGGGGATTCCCAGCAGCTGAGTCCTTGGTCTAGAGCCTAAAGGAAAGATCAAGAGAGTGATTTCTGAGACATTAGGATTCTTATGGGGGAGACTCGAAGCCTCCCAGGCCAGGCATCCAGCAGAGGCTAAAGTAACAGAGTTGAGAATGAGAAGGTGGGTCTGTCCAGGAAGCCGGCAGGTTGAGAGGTAACCTTGGTAGCTTCGTCTGGAGCCATTCTGGCAAACGGCCCTTCTGTTTCCCTCCTGGCATCATGGCGATCAGCTCAAAATTGCCAAAGATCCCTGGGGTAGAAACTATCCTGATTCCGACTCTAACCCTAATGCCTGTTTCAGTAATTACGTCTAACTTGAGTTGAGGGCATTAAGGGTCGCCATTTGGCCTCTGACATCGGACCTCCTCAGGGACAGTGGTTTCTCTCATGATGAATCTTTCCCCATTGTCCCCAGGTGGTGGAGAACACGGTGCTCCCCTCAGGCATGAATTCCTTAACGCCTTGGTGAGAGGAAGGTCCCCCGACCTTCCCAAGGTCACCTAACCTAAGTCAGAGCACAGCTCTTGGTCACGTGCAGTAAGTCAATTTCAACTTCTGTCCCTCTTTGGATTCCTTCTGCTGAGGTGTATTTCTGATATTCCGACCCTTCGACTTCATTTACTGAATTCGTATCTAAGTCAGCCCAGCACCTCCCTGAGCCCCCCCGCAGTGGAGCTGGATGGTTCAACCCAGAGTCGCGGGTCGCTGTGCATATTCCCGCGTACCTGGGCTGCTCCCTTCCTGTTCTGACACTCTTGGCATACGTTCAAAAACATATTTCTTCGGTCAATATTTGCAAACCCTTGCAGTTCTTTTGATGTGAATTGTATGTCGTGGTCAGACCCTCTGTAGTCTTCCAGGATTGTTGCTCAGCCCAGAAGCAACGAGGAATTGACAAGGTATGTCTCGAGAAGCACGGGCATCTACCCTGAAGGCAACTGCACGAGGTCAATAGAGAGTCTTTGGTCAAGGGGAGGCTCACCTCCTCACACGGGGCAGGAGGATACTTCAATGAGCAAGGGATGCTGAGAGCTGGAGGTCAAGGTATTAACAGTTAGCAGAATGCACACAAATGTCCCCATTCCAGTTTCAGGTCCCCATCCTTATTTCCTTTGTGGCTGGTACATTTGCTAACTACAGTTACCCTGTAATGAAAAGCTGTCCCGTCTCCATTTATTCTGTCTTCTCATTCATAGCAGTATGAACGGATGGCTATTTATTTTATCTTTGGGTTATAATGCAATACTTTATTACCTTTTTTGACGAAGTTGTTTCAACTTTGGCCGTTGGGAGCTCTTTCGGGTTTCTCTTGTGACTTCCCAGCATGCTCCATTTTTGGGGGAGCACTTTCTTATTTTGTGAGACTAAGATGCTCCTGTCTTTTTTTGCATTTTCCCTGCCTCAGTCCTGGAGTCAACCAGCTCTTTAAGGATTCCTGGCTCCACACACACACACTCAAAGCTCTACCCCCAATCCATACATTCACAGACACATATTAACAGATTGCAGGTGGCTTGAAGAACATCCGTTTCAATAGCTAGAGGTGCAGAGACTAAGAGCTGGAAAACGGAGAGGCTGTCCAAAGCGAGTCAGCTCATGAGTGGCGTGCAGACCTAGAACTTGAGTCTCGGCCCTCCAGGCCAGTGACCCGCCACGCCCTCAGAAAGAACCCTCACAGGACCCATGTGGGTGGTGGTGCTTTTATTAAGCAGAGATCAGTGGTGCCGAGCGTCTCGTGCTGCTCTGGGGACGCTCCGGCCTGAAACTAGACTCTGCAGCAGTGTTTCCTCCGACTTCTGCATTCTGCAGGCAGGATGGAGCAGCCGTGGGTTCTTTGATGCTTACAGACACCACCCATTTTCTTACATTCGATGTTTTTTACCTTTCTTTCATGCCCTGTGAAGGAAAGGGAGGTGGAAAAAACCCAAAGAAATGAAGGCATGTTTAACCAAAGCTACCAGATTTCATCGTGGAGAGAAAATCTCCAGACTGTCGTCCACAGGGGTACAGCTGGCCCTCTCCCTGTTTCGGGGGGACCTGTGAACCTAGAATGGTTTTTTGTTTTATGGGTTTTTTTTATAGTTAACTTTTTTTAATTGTAGAAAAAATTCAGAAAGAATATTTGATGGTACCTGAAAATTATATGAAATTCAAATTCTAGGGTCCACAAGTTGTTTTATAGGAAAACAGCTGCCCTCATTCATTTATACATTGTCTGTGGCCACATTCATGCTACAACAGAGATGCACTGTCCTGACAGAGAGCTTGGGGCCCACAGAGCCTAAAATATGCATTGCCCGCCCTTTACAGAGACAGCTTATCAACCTCCGTGCTATAGTGTCTTTCCTTTTCAGATGAAGAACCCTTAGGTCAGAGAAAGCAGTTTGGGCCACAGATGAGGGATACACATCACGTGCTCTTCACAGACGCTTCCTAAAGTGCCTGCCTCTTTTCCAAAAGGATAAAATCTTACAAGCACTCAGCACAAAGTAGACAAACTAAGCGTTGGACTGAGCATTCTCACCCCTGATTGCTGTGCCTCCCGTATCCCATGCAAGGAGCGCTGTTTTATAAACTGGCATTTTAAATCCCACAGCCATGGCTTGTAGTGAGCACCAGCCTTCTTACGCTCCTGTGAGTTAAGCTGGAGAGAAAACTACGAGAGGTGAGTGACTAAGTCGTTCAGAGAGCAGGGGAGGAAGAGAGGGAGCCTGCATGATGTCTGGAGGCAGGAGAGCAAGGAAGAGAGTGACACACAGCCGGGAGGAACTCATGAATGAGAAGAGTGTCCGCCAAAGTCCGTGGCTTTTACAGGCGCTGGGTGTTTGTGATGAGGGCACAGTCAGCCAGGATTTGGGGGACCTGCTTTCCAAGTCCTGCTCCCCCATAACCACGGTTTTCTTTCGGGGGTGGCAGAGTCTCTGAATTTTTCATAAGAAGGCGAGGTAGTTATAAATTATGCATGTATTTATAATGTATGTGTAATTATAAAATATATATGTAATTCATATTATTAATAGGAATGAATATATAAATATATTATATTCATGTATTTAAAATTATTGTCACTTATATTAGATAACTGTGAATACATGTCCATGCGCGTCTGTCTCTACACCCACACCCACGCCCACGCCCACGCCCGCGTCTACATCCGCCTGCCTGTCGCCTGTCTTCCTCAGGCTGTTCACCAGATAGGTCTGAGTCTCTGTTTTCCTGGCACCAGGTGGGATTCGCCTCTTATGTGGTTAGGTGGGGCCAAGGCACTTGCTTGGTTAGTGAGTTCTGAGCAGAAGGGCCGAGTCCTTTCAGGGCTGGAGCCCTTCTTGCCAACGTGAGGCTCCTCAGAGCTCTTTCTTTGGACGCCATGCCCAGCAGCCTTCACGGGGGCGGCAGCACCGTCGGGAGGATCTGAGCAGCTGCGCTGAGCGGAGCACCCCTCTGATGGGCTGGCATCCTCTGAGCAAGACTTAAACACTTGCTCTTGTAAGATGCCAGGATTTGGAGGCAGCGGTCACCACTGCACAGCCTGGCACCTCCTAGGCTGACATAGGTGGAGGGTTGCCAGGTAACAGGACCCCCAGTTTAATCTGAATTTCAGATCAACGACAAATAGTCTTTTAGTGCAGGTATGCTCCGAGTGTTGTGTGGGTCCTCCTCAAGCTAAAAATGTTTGTTTGTATATAACTCGGTGTGTAAATTTGTTTTCTGGGATTGTTGGCTATTTAATAAAAACATGGTCTCTGGAACCAAACCCAACTGGGCTTGAGTTAAAGGCTTCACCACATACAACCTGCATTAACAATTTACTTCATTTCGCAGTCTCATCTGTAGGACAGACCTAAACATGCTTGCCTACCGCAGAAGCGCTGTTTCGAGGAGGCCGTGGTCCAGCACAGCAGAGGTGCTGTCGTGCTGGCCGAGAGGAGCCGGCCGACGTCACTGGCCATTGTGGGCAGAGTTGTTGTTATTCCCAAGGAAATGACCTGTAGGCTGCAAAGTCCCCTGTAAATGTCGTCTGTCACCGTTACTACTTGCAGATTTACTACCAACTCGCCAGGGACAATTGGGGGAGGACACTTTTCATTTCTTTAGGCTGCTCTTTCCTTGTTTGTGAACCAGAGCTTGCTGTACATGCCGCGCTTCTTTCAGATACGACGTTACTCGGTGGTTACGTGTTTCAGTGCACCCCCGGGTTAGGAGTCCACCGGACCTCCTAGGCCACCCACTCTGCCATCCTCCCAGCGGGACCCACAGCTTACCTGATGTTGCCTGGATAAGACATACAAGGAAGAGAAGGAGGAGGTATAGCAGCCGCATGACGGGAGATGAATTTTCGGGATTCCAGGCGGACGCGGCAGTGGCCAACGGCACATCAATGGGGGCCGGCGATCTGAGAAAGAGTTTGCAGAATTCAGCTAGACAGACAAAGCTTGTGCTCCCAATAAGGACGTTCAGTGAGGGCCTGGGTGTAATTGGAGGATGTCTTGTCTGTGGACAAATGGTCCCAGGCCCGGGTGTGCCTGTCACAGAGGAAGAGGTGAACAGGGGTCGGCAGTTCC